TAGGCAGGGGTAGGGTGGAGGGGGAAATGGTCGATTCCTGGTTCTCTGTTATCAAAGGTCCTTAGTTTTAAATAAGCTTTTTGAATAATACCAGAAATGGCAAATTGAATTTAATTCTTTCAGACAAGTCCAGGTAAATGATAGTTTGCCCTTTATTGTCAATGTATTAGCTTGTCTTTAAGATATACCTGTATCAATATATGAATGCAATTTAAAGTTTAATGATTTTTTTTAAATCGGTGCTGCCATTTTTGTTTCCCAGGTTAGTCTATAGAATTGTTTTCAATGATTTGACTTTCAGAAACATTAAACACATCATAAGGAAATAGTAGACCCATTTTACAAAAGAAGTTCTAGACTTTTACCAAGTTTGGTTATAACACAATATTGTTGGCTATATTGCTTAAAAGGCCTGGTGCATGAATTCATGCATGACTGGGGCCCCTTGGCCTGGCCAGCAATCGAGGCTGATCAGGTCACCTTGCCCAGTCCCGATTGGGGTCATCAGGGCTGGTTGGCTGGCCAGCCCCACCCAAGATCAGGGGGTGGGTCAATTGGGGGTGGGGACGGCTGGGGGGAGGGGGTCTCAGGCAGTTGGCTGAGAGTCAAACTCCCAGTTGAGGAAACAATTTGCCTTTTATTATATAGTGGATATATATAATATGTTGAGGTATATTCCTTGTATACCCAATCTGTTGAAAACGGTTTTCTAATATGAAAGGATGTTGCATTTTTGTCAAGTACTTTTTCTAAATCTTTTATGATGATCATTTAATTTTTATATTTAATTCTATTAATGGAATTTATTGTGTTCAATTTGTATATGCTGAACCATCCTTGTATTCCAGGGATTAATCCCACTTGGTCATGGTATATAATCCTTTTAAAGTGTCTAATTCAGTTTGCAAATATTTTACTGGTACATTTTGCACCTGTATTTATAAGTGATATTGATCTATGTTGTTGTTTGCATATCTGACTTTGGTATTAGGGTAATGCGGACCTTGTAGAATGAATTTGAAAGTTTTTCCTTATCTACAATTATTTTGAAAAGTTTAAGAAGGATTAACACTAATTCTTAAAATGTTTGGTATAATTTACCAGGGAAGCCATCTGTTCTTAGTGTTTTCAATGTTGGTATGTTTTTTATTACTGATTCAATTCAGATTTTCTAATTCTTCCAGATTCAGTCTTGGTATGTTGTATGTTTCTATAAATGTATTCATTTCTTTTACACTTTCTAATTTGTTGGCTTATAGTTGTTATGATCACTTATGTATTCCAGTAGTATCAATTGTAATGTCTCCTCTTTCATTTCTTGTTTTATTTGAGTCTTATCCCCTTTTTTTTCCCCCTTAGTTAGGATAAATGTTTGTCAATTTTGTTTATTTTTGAAATACCACCTCTTAGTTTCTTTTATCCTTTTGTGTGTGTGTTTTCAGTCTTTATTTTATTTCTATGCCGATCTTTATTTCCTTTAGGTTATTTCCATCATTCTCCTAACTTTTATTTTTTTTCTTCTTCTAGTTGTTTGAGGTATACTAGTAAAATTCAATTATTTTAAATCTTTCAAATATATAAATATATTCAGTTATCACTGTAAACTTTCCTCAGAACTGCTTTTCTAGCATTCCATAAGGTTTGATATATTGTCTTTCCATTTTTGTTTTGAGATAACTTTTTCTTTTGATTTCTCACTTGACGCATTCATTGTTCAGAAGTGTGTTGTTTGGTTTTCACATATTTATAGATTTCCCAGCTTTTTTCTTGATTTCTGGTTTCACACCATTGTAGTCAGAAAATAGTTGATATGATTTCAATCTGCTTAAATTTGCTAAGAGTTGTTTTATGTCCTATCATGATCTATCCTAGAGAATGCTTTATGTGCAGTTGAGAAGACCGTGTATTCTGTTACTATTGGGTAGAATGTTCTATTTATGTCAAGTCTATTTTGTTTCAATTCTAACATTTCTTTGCTGATTTTCAATTTGATTGATCTATCCATTGCTGAGAGTGGGATATTGAAGTCCCTTACTATTATTGTATCATTATTTCTCCCTCCAACCTGTTAGTATTTGCAGAATATATTTAGGTGCTCTGATGTTGGCTACATGTACGTTGATGTTTGTTATATTTTCTTGATGTACTAACCCCTTTATCATTAAAGCATAACCTTTTTATCTTTGTCTTTTGTTACATTTTTCATTGAAGTTTTTTTTTTTAAATATATTTTATTGATTTTTTTTACAGAGAGGAAGGGAGAGAGATAGAGAGTTAGAAAGATCGATGAGAAAGAAACATCGATCAGCCGCCTCCTGAAAATCTCCCACTGGGGATGTGCCCGCAACCCAGGTACATGCCCTTGACCGGAATCGAACCCGGGACCTTCCAGTCCGCAGGCCGACGCTCTATCCACTGAGCCAAACCGGTTTCGGCAAAGTCTTTTTTTTTTTTAACTTAATAAGTATGGCTATGGCTATACCCACATTCTTTTGGTTTCTACTTACCAGGAATATCTTCTTTCATCCCTTCACTTGGAGCCTGTGGGTGTCTTTGGAGATGAAATAAGTTTCCTGTAGGCAGTATACAGTTAGGTATTGGTGTGTGTATCCCATTGTTCTGTTTTTTACTTGCTTGTTTTCATCCAGTCAGCTACTCTTTGCCTTTTGATAGCGATTCAATCTATTTACATTTAGAGTGATTGATCTGTAAGGACTTGTTGCTGCCATCTTATTGTTTGTCTGCTAGTTGATTTTTATCTTCGTTGTTTCTTTTTTCTTCTGTTTCTACCTGCTTTTGTAAATTGGTGGTTTCTCATGGTGGTATGCTGTCTTCCCTTTTTTATGTTCTGTGAATGTATTCTAGATTTTTTATTGTGGTGATTACATCCTCCTTGGGAAAGGTCACTGCTCTCTACCTCCTCTGCCAGAAGGGTAGCCACTGCCACCGCAAAACGCCTAACCTCTTGCCTTGTCACCTTAGGGAGGGGGACCCACCTTGGCAACTTCTTCCCTCTTCTCTGTATCCAAACTCCTTCCTATCCAACTCCAGTGCATTCTGGAACCTCCCTGTAGGCAGGTTGGGCACTTTCTAAAATTCTCTTGCCCCTGGGTGTCTGCCCAGTTCTGTGCTCTCCAGGTTCTTTCTTTCCTGATTGCAGCCAGTGCGGGTGGGACCAGTTCACTGTCTCCCTTGGATTTGCAGCCTCCACCAGGTTCCTTTACTTATTTGCAGATGCGCAGATGAACTAGAAGCCTGCAGGTTTCTTAGTGTAGTGCTGGAGGCCTTCTGTTTGGCAACAGAAGTCTAACTCATTGTTATAAAAAGGGAAGAGAAGAGAGGAATGTTTTACTCCACCATGATTCTGATGCACCTACCTATTGGTTCATTTATTCATTCATTTGATAAAAACCTAAATATTGAATGCCTGCTATGTATAAAACCTGGCCCCCTTCTGTAGGGACCCTGCCCTAAGTAGGCCAGATGATAAAGGCCCATTTGCCACACCCATAAGCAAAGGCAATGACGCTGCAGTTTCCCTGAAGGCACTGTGCAGGCGCACCTTTCTATAACCCAAATACTGATGTCACTATTTGGCAAGAAGCCTCTTTTGTCTGAGTTGGTATAAAAATGTGTTGCTGACCAGCCTGTGTGCGGCTGCTGTGGGGAGCTACGTTGAGGAACTGCTATGTCTGGTAGCTCCTTGTTAGCAATGGCTTCTCTATCTGCAGTAAAGTCTCTCCCATCTGCTTGCGGCTCCTCGTGTCTTCATGCAATTTCCAGAGTCCGCAGAGGGGCTGTGACCCAACACCTTATATGATTGGTTATACAGTTATGGGTAAATCAGGGAATTGTGCAGTTTATTTTCTAATGGTGGATAGAAATTTAACAATAAGAAGGGATTTCTAGTCTTGTCTAGCTCTTAAGCTGCTATGAATAGAAAAGTTCATTTTTTTATTTTTCTAAATTTACCTTTATTGTTGAAAGTATTTCATATGTCCCCCTTCTTTTCCCATTGACCCCCTACACCCCACCCCCTACCCCCAGGCCTTCACCACACTATTGTCTGTGTACATGGCTTATGTATATTTATATATATATAAGCCTAAGTGACCTGCTGACTGGCCAACAGGCCACTGACCAATGGGCCAGTAGCTATGATGCACACTGACCACCAGGGGGCGGATGCTCAATGCAGGAGCTGCCGAGCTGTG